GTTCCCCTTATTTGATGTAGGCCTTAATATCACATAAGTTCCTAAGAAATTAGTTAAATAACTGGAGGTGAATGAGAGGATGTTAAACTAATCTACAGTTATATTTCTGTCAAAAAACGTACCGGAACTTTAAGTAAAAATTAATTTTCAATATGGAAAAATAACGTGGTATCCCTTGCATACCTAAGTTTGTGGATGAAAGCTCCTGACCACTACACAATGAATAGATTCAATAAAATGACACTTATTCTAGTGCAGAAAGCATCCTTGGAGTTGTATGTGAGCATTTACTGGTTCTTTCTGTGGGCAATCTCTTAAGGACTTTCTTTGTAGAAAATTCTCCCTATTTGAGAGCAACACAGTTATTGACCGTTTAACTAGTCTTTGCAGCATTTCCTGGAGGAAGGGAAGATGGCAGAGTGTTTGCAGGGCCCCTTAACTGTCTGTATAAATGTAATATAAGTGGCCTGGTGTGCTCTTTCACTAATATCTTAATAGGTACGTGTAAGTGATGGAAACAAAACAGGACACTAGTATTATCCAGCTGTCCAATTCTGAAGGAAATCAGAGCCTCTAAAATCTTATCCAGTAAAACCACTAAGTTCCATGATGAACAAAAACAGAATTTTCAGTACTTGTCCTGACACAGGGAGGGTTTTCTGTAGAGTAGATGTTGTTCCCTCCTGAAATCCACTTAGAGACTATAGAAGTCAGTCCCAAGACAAAAAAATCAAGGACCACCTCTGTTTGGCACTCACCTGTCACAGTAGAAGTAAGCTGAGCCTTGGGAGCAGCCTGGAGCATGGGTGAACTAATGAATAAGGGCGGTGGATACCTCATACCTCTGGGAGAAGAGTGAATGAATATTGTACAAAAACCACTGGTAACAGATGAGGACATGCAAACAATAAATTTTACCCATAGACATATTTTATTTATTCATAATTACCCAGAGATAAAAGTTGGCAAATATTGCACTACAGTCAGGGATTTGTGAGACAGGATTACTCAGGGAGGATGGTCTTGGAGAGCAGTGTGCAGAATGTAACTGAGAGATTGTGAAGTTACCAATATGGAGATCAAGGTTAGCCTAAAGAACAGATTTCATAATGCTTAGACATGCATCTAGGGCAGAGTAACCTGGGCTTTGCCCCAGGAGCAAACATTTAAAAAGTTGCATACATTTATCATCATTTTTAGAGATTTATTATCTCCCCAAAGAGTTCCAAACTGATTATAGGTACAAATGTAATTGGTGCTTTGGGAAGGGGATTAATAGTAAACATTGTCAAGTTTCCAGAGACACAAGAAGCCTTCCTTTTGGTGTTTCAACCTTAATGTATAACCTTACTGAAACGCTTAATGACAACCTTGACAAGGAAGAATACAAGACATAATTTTACCCTATCAAGTTATCACTTATGAATTTCAACTTGGCATGCCAATGCTGTCTCCATGATCTTATGCCAAGAGGTGAAAGAGAATAGAAGACAGGAAAACAGAATGTCTGGCGAGAGGTCAGGTGCAGGGCCATCTTTTTCTTTCATCTAACATTGTCATGTTTCTTGTCAAAGTTATATGCAGTAATTATGGCTTTGTTGTAGTAGTCATTGTTGAAGAACTGTATACATGGAATCAAACATACGTCTGATAAAAAATGGAACACAGAACAAGTAAAATTCTTATTTCTTCTTTCAGCTTCAGGATTCCGGGCATGCAAAATGATTGTTAGAGAATCAGAATGCTTTAATAGGCTGGACGCAGTAATCCCAGCACTTTGGGAGGTCGAGGTGGGCAGGTCACTTGAGGTCAGGAGTTTGAGACCAAGCCTGGGCAACATGGTGAAATACCATCTCTACTAAAAATACAAAAATTAGCCAGGTGTCGTTGTGTGAACCTGTAGTCCCAGCTACTCAGGGGGCTAAGGCAGGAGAATCATTTGAACCCGGGAGGCAAAGGTTGCAGTGAGTCAAAATTGTGCCACTGCATTCCAGCTTGTGGAACAGAGCAAGACCCTCAAAAAAAAAAAAAATCCTGCTTTCATATAATGTTCATATTATAAATTCATGCACATTTTTAGATCCAGGCTTCTGATTTGCCTTACTGCAATTACACATTTGAGTTCTTTTTACATAGGGCATAATAAATATGAGTAAATAACACTGTAATATATATATGATCATATACAATGATAAAAAATAGTGTGAAAAAATATAAATTATATTTATACAGTTTCTGTTATACAAATGGGTGAATTTCATATTATCATAGTCTAGAAATAAACTATGTACAGGCATGTGAGCCTGTTCCAGTGGATACAGCTGAGTTTAATCACTTTATTATAGATTAGAAACCTCTGAGTCTGTTTCATCTTTGTATCTTCCAGGCTCCTTAAGTGGTTGTCAAATGAATAAATACATGGAGTGAATAAATTTATAAATGAACTAATGAATATATCAATACCTGGTATTTCTCTAGGCAAAGCAGTTAGTGCATTTTGGCATATTTGGATTTTGTGCAATATATTGTTAAATAGACTTTCACTTTTTGAATATCGTTTATGTAAATGTATACGGTTTTGAATTTTTAACATTTTAAAAATTATTTTTTTATTGTTTAAAATTGAGCTATGTGCAGTATAGTCTCCTTTAAAATAGCATCAGTTTCTCTCAATACCAGTTCTATTTTCTTGATGTCTTAGACATTAAAAATTTTTTAAAAGATAAAAAAAACCACACACACATTTTTTCCATACTCAGACACGGAAAATAATACTCTCTCATTTCAATTTATGTTTATTACCTGCAGGGTTCATTTGCCAAGATTCCTTTCAAGCACAACTCATACTTGTCTACTTGTGAATTAAATTATACTCCCTCTGTTAGCCAAAATTAGGTCTCAGACTGTCCAGCTGGCACAACAAGGATGGGATAAGTTGTGCTGAATTGGCTCTTCACAATAAGTAAGACAAGAGCCACTAGTTCGGTCTCCAGGGATAGAGAGTGAATAGATCTTTATCCTTTTTCTCTTCTCATCACTCTGCAGTTTCCCCCTTTCTTTCATGTCTTTTGATTCAAGGAGACAGCTTCTGTTACTGTTCATCAGGTGGAAAATGGCTCAGCCACATGTGCTTGGAACTTTGTGACCTGGACTGCTGGGGATGATAGTGTCACCTTCTGTTGAGAATTCCACAGAGGTGTGTTTGCCAGTCCAGTCATTACCCAAATCAAGCCAGGCCCCACTGCGTGTCCTCTTTGGCTCTTTGGTAATTTTTTTTTTGGAGTTTTTTTAGTCCCCAGGCAGACACTCGTCTGGTTCATAAGAGGAACTGGCTTAGCATGGCCTCTCAGAAGCACACTCATCTCCTTTCCTTAGTGTAAGAATGGTCTACATTTCCTTTATTCCTGGACCTGGTGGACTGCTGCTAAGTTTGCATCCACAGTGGATAAATCCAGATAGTTTGTTAAGTCAAAAGATATGAGACCCCTTCCAATTGTTGATTCTCTGAGGGCAGTAGTAAGTCTTAGAACTGAAATAGTCTTAATGATTTTGAACACAGGAAAACTATTTGTCACTGTGAACTTTGGATTTTAGGGTAAGAAAAGGGAAAGACATACCCGACTTTTTCACATTTTTCAACCAGGACTCATTTTATTACTAGTACTTATTGAAAATTATAGGGCTGCTATGCTTACTCAACTCCCTACAAAATTGATCTCTGCATGGGAAATCTCCCTTTCACATGAAATTTAAAAGAACTGTATTTTATGTTCTTTTAAAATTTCTATTGAAATTGGGCACATTGAATAGCTTGTGTTTCTATAAGTTATATGAATTCCAGTACACTTCCCAATGAATCATGATGGAAAAGCCATGCCATAGAGAAATGCACTGTGTGTATGTGAGGGTGTGTAAGGGTGTAATGTTGCTTGATTATTAAAAGTTGAGATTAAACAGGCACTTTCTGCAGCTGTGACTTTGTACAGATGGCAGGACCCCAGCCAGTGGGGCTGAAAGGGCTTTCTGAAATGGAGCCAAAAAACAGATCCAGTTTTCACCACTGAATCTTTGGAATAAACCATACATGAAAATACATGCTGTGCGGATAGGAGATATGCATGCTGTATGTGTGTAGTGCTTTTATCTGTATTTTTTGTCATGGACTTGTATATGCTACACCTCCTATATGCTTGTGAAGCCTGAAACTATGTACTTACGGAGAATTTTAAGAGATGTATGTTTTATTTAACAGAGAAAGTGGTTGGATATCTAGCAGTTTTCCCTATCTTAGTCTCTTAAAACTGCTTTGGACTGCTCAGGTACAGATCTTTTACATGGTTTGAAGATGGCCAGAAGAATATGTTTATTACATTTGTTTGAATTCTTTTTTCACGTTATTGAAATATTTTTTCTTCTTTTTTTTCTTCTGGCGATCATCTCATCTACATTAACTCTGATCCCTTATACATTTCTATTTTTTAAACTTCTCTTTCCTGTATCATGTACGTTTCTATTGAATCTCCTTATTCTCTGCCCTGACATATTTCCTAAAGAATGGTTATCACTCAGCCGGCCGCGGTGGCTCAAGCCTGTAATTCCAGCACTTTGGGAGGCCAAGGTGGGTGGATCATGAGGTCAAGAGATGGAGACCATCCTGGTCAACACGGTGACACCCCGTCTCTACTAAAAATACAAAAAATTAGCTGGGCATGGTGGCGCGTGCCTGTAGTCCCAGCTACTCGGGAGGCTGAGGCAGGAGAATTGCCTGAACTCAGGAGGTGGAGGTTGCGGTGAGCCGAGATCGCGCCATTGAAGTCCAGCCTGGGTAACAAGAGCAAAACTCCATCTCAAAAAAAAAAAAAAAAAAAAAAAAAAAGAATGGTTATCACTTAAAAAAGATCTTTATCTTTTCTTTAGTTCAGAATATGAACTTTTTATTTTATATTATTATTTTTATTTTTTTGCTGAAGGTGTAACTGAGAGCCTTTACTCTCCTCTTCTTCTGAGTATAAATGCTTCCTTAATCTTGCACAGAGTGTGAGGCAGGTGAGCCACCACACAGGAAGGGAAGGGGATTTAACTAAACAACTTCTCATGTGCTTTGGAGAAATAAGTGATAGAATTTTCAGAGTGGTGAGCCATTCTTTGAACAGGTATTTATTGAGCATCTATTCCAGTTGATCCAATTTAGGCATAAACCTTGATGAAACGGGCAAAGTTTCTGCCATCAATAACTACACTCCAGTAAGAAGAGATAGGCAGTAACAAACAACAACAACAACAACAACCAAACAACCAAGATAAAAAGCTATGAATAAGTGTGAGAAAGACAATGAAATGGGACAATTTCATAACATGTGACAGGGTAGGTTCTCCTACACCTGACTGGGTGTCAGGAAATCTCTATATGAGTAGGTATCATGGTTATTCCTCTGTGCAACAAATTATTGCCAAAATTAGCAGTTGGGAAAATCAAACATTTATTCTATCGGACAGAAATAATGACCTATTTGGGTAATTCTATTTCATGGTCTCTTACGAGGTTGCCATTATTTGAAGGCTCAACTGGGCTAGAGAATCTGCTTCCAAGACGGTGCAGTCACACAACTATTGGCAAGAAGCCTCAGTTTCTTCCTACATGGATCTTTCCATAAGTAACATCTGAGTGTCTTCATGGCATGTTGACTGGTTTTCCCCCAAAACAAATGATCTGAAAGAGCAAGACAGAGCAGCAACATATTTTATGTCTCAGCCTTGACACATCATGGGTCACATGCCATCACCTCACCATATTCTGTTGGTCACACAGATTAATGCTGAGGCCATAAGGGAGGAGACTATTACAGGGCATGTATATCAGGAATGAGGGTATTAGGAAGACATCATCCTTCCTACCACAGGAAGGAACAGTTGCACTGAGGCCAGAATAATTGCAAGGAATCAGTTAAGTGAATACCTAGGGAGGAGGGTGTTCTATTAAAGGAAGCAGCAGTTTCTATTACACCGAGGCAGGGAAAGCTGGGTGTTGTCAAATAATAGACACAAGTCTAGACTGAACAAGCAGGAAGGTTGTATGGGATGAGTCTAGTGAGCAGGGGTGAGATGCCATGGATCTTATGGGGTTTGAAATATATTCTGAATGAGTGAACTGTTAGAGAGGTTTTTTTTTTTTTTTGAGATGGAGTCTTGCTTTTGTCATCCAGGCTGGAGTACGGTATTGTGATCTTGGCTCACTGCAACCTCTGCCTCCCGGGTTCAAGTGATTCTCCTGCCTCAGCCTCCTGAGTAGCTGGGATTACAAGTGCTTGCCACCATGCCTGGTTAATTTTTGTACTTTTAGTAGAGATGGGGTTTCGCCATGTTGATCAGATGGTCTCAAACTCCTGACCTAAGATGACTCACCCACCTTGGCCTCTTGAAAGTTTTAAGCAGAGGAGTGACATTAACTGCGTGACTACATATTGAACGAAAATACAATTATGAGAAAAGAATTGGATAGGACCTGTAAAATTGCCATATTAACAGAAAGAATGACTTAGACTCTCGATTTCTACCCTTGATGGTCATACTTTGCAAACTTATAAAGATGAGACCTAGAAATATTTATTCTACCAGGTGAATAATAGAATATAAGTGATCTGGGGATTTCAATATGAAGTGTGAACATCTCTGTATCAGCTCTCACCTCCTATTCTGCCATCGTAAAAGAGGTTCTACTGTTGACCAGATTATTTATAGGGAGAAAAATCCACAGGGAACTACGGGCAAAAATATATTTTATAAATGTTTCAAGGGCCAAGTTACGTTCCTGCTGAGGTGTTTTCCCTATTATTTGTCAGATGTAGAGCATCACTCACTCCGATTTCTGTAGCGCCTTTTCATGCTGTTAGAATGCTGGTTTTAACTCATTTACAAAATAATCACTTTAGACATAAAAGAATAACCCACTCTCCCAGCTCACTGGCCAGTGATGAGTTACTCTTTATAAAGTGGTTTCAACCTCTAGAGAAAATGCAGACTTCATTTCAAATGAGATTATTCTGCTCTGTTGCTCAGTGCAGGTGTTGAGACTATGGTTATGGTTCACTGACTTGGAGACAGAATGTGTTCAGTTTTTATTTTAAACCAGACATGCTTGCCATACCCCTGCTGAGCCCCTCATAACATTTCAATGGTAACAGAATCTAGCAGATAAAATCCCAATCATGTGCAAAATTAACCTTTTCTCTAGGCCTAATGGTTTGACGCAGCATTCTTTTTTTTTTTTTTTTACATTTATTTTATTAAATAAAAAATGTTCATCTGACAAATAAACTTATACTTTAAGTTCTGGGGTACATGTGCAGAATGTGCAGGTTTGTTACATAGGTATACATGTGCCATAGTGGTTTGCTGCATTCATCATCCTGTCATCTACATTAGATATTTCTCCAAATGCCATCCCTCCCCAATCCTCCCACCCCCTGTTATCCTTCCTCTAGCCCTCCACTCCAGAATAGGCCCCAGTGTGTGATGTTCCCCTCCCGGTGTTTGTGTGTTCTCCTTGTTAAACACCTACTTATGAGTGAGAACATGCGATGTTTGGTTTTCTGTTCTTGTGTCAGTGTGCTGAAAATGATAGTTTCCGGCTTCATCCAGGAACATGAACTCATCCTTTTTTTATGGCTGCATAATATTCCATGGTGTATATGTGCCCATTTTCCTAATCCAGTCTATCATTGATGGGCATTTGGGTTGGTTCCAAATCTTTGCCATTGTAAATAGTGCCTCAATAAACATATGTGTGCATGTCTTTATAATAGAATGATTTATAATCCTTTGGGTATATACACAGTAATGGGTCATATTGATTGCTGGGTCAAAGGGTATTTCTATTTCTAGATCCTTAAGAAATTGCCACATTGTGTTCCACAATGGTTGAACTAATTTACACTCTCACCAACAGTGTAAAAGCATTCCTATTTCTCCACATCCTCTCTAGCATCTGTTGTCTCCTGATTTTTTAATGATCGCCATTCTAACTAGTGTGAGATGGTATCTCAATGTGGTTTTGATTTGCATTTCTCTAATGACCAGTGATAAGGAGCTTTTTTAAAATATGTTTTTGGCTCCATAAATGTCTTCTTTTGAGAAGTGTCTGTTCATATCATTTGCCCACTTTTTGATGGGGTTGCTTTTTTTTTTCTTGTACATTTGTTTAAGTTCCTTGTAGATTCTGGATATTAGCCCTTTGTCAGATGGGTAGATTGCAAAATTTTTTTCCTATTCTGTGGTTGCCGGTTCACTGTAATGATAGTTTCCTTTGCTGTGCAGAAGCTGTTAAGTTTAATTAGATCCCTTTGTCTATTTTGACTTTTGTTGGCATTGCTTTTGTGTTTTAGTCATGAAGTCCTTGCCCATTGCTATGTCCATAATGGCATTGCCTAGGTTTTCTTCCAGGGTTTTTATGGTGCTAGGTCTTATGTTTAAATCTTTAATCCATCTAGAGTTAATTTTTGTATAAGATGTAAGGAAGGGATCCAATTTCAGCTTTCTGCATATGGCTAGCCAGTTTTCCCAACATCATTTATTAAACAGGGAATCCTTTCCCCATTGCTTTTTTGTCAGGTTTGTCAAAGACCAGATGGTTGTAGATGTGTGGTGTTATTTCTGAGCCCTTGTTCTGTTCTATTGGTCTATATCTCTGTTTTGGTACCAGCACCATGGTGTTTTGATTACTGTAGCCTTATAGTATAGTTTGAAGTCAGGTAACATGACTTCAGCCTTGTTTTTTGTTTTTGTTTTTGCTTAGGATTATCTTGGCTATGTGGGCTCTTTTTTGGTTTTATATAAAGTGTAAGGTGTTTTTTTTTCCAATTCTGTGAAGAAAGTCTTTGGTAGCTTGATGGGGATAGCATTGAATCTGTAAATTACTTTGGGCAGTATGGCTGTTTTCAAAATATTGATTCTTCCTAACCATGAACATGGACTGTTTTTCCATCTGTTTGTGTCCTCTCTTATTTCCTTGAGCAGTTGTTTGTAGTTCTCCTTGAAGAGGTCCTTTACATCCTTTGTTAGTTGTATTGCTAGGTTTTTCATTCTCTTTGTAGTAATTGTGAATGGGAGTTCGCTCATGATTTGGCTCTCTGTTTATCTGTTATTGGTGTATAGAAATGCTTGTGGTATTTGTGCATTGATTTTGTATCTTGAGACTTTGCTGAAGTTGTTTATCATCTTAAGGAGATTTTGGGCTGAGATGATGGGGTCTTCTAAGTATACAGTCATGTTGGCTGCAAATAGAGAAAATCTGACCTCCTCTTTACTTAATTGAATACCCTTTATTTCTTTTCCTTGCCTGACTGCCCTGGCCAGAACTTCCAATACTATGTTGAATAGGAGTGGTGAGAGAGGGCATCTTTGTCTTGTGCCAGTTTTCAAAGGGAATGCTTCCAGTTTTTGCCCATTCAGTATGATATTGGCTGTGGGTTTGTCATAAATAGCTCATATTATTTTGAGGTATGTTCCATCGATACCTAGTTTATTGAGAGTTTTTAGCATAAAGGGCTGTTGAATTTTGTTGAAGGCCTTCTCTTCTCTCATGTCCATTTGGATTAGGTGACCTAAAATAAATGCCCCTCCTTGTCTCTGGGCATTTGAAAAATAAAAATATAGTTAATAATCACACAAAAAGAGTAAGTCATATAATAATCATATAAAAAGAATAAGTCTTGCCATCCAGAGTAAGAGGTGGGCTGTGGAGTTTTAGGTCCTCCGTGAGGAATGACAGAGGTAAATAGAGTCTGAGTAAATAGCCTCCCGTACCTTCCAAATTTCTCTGTGGCCTGGTAAGAAGGAGGAGCTTCAATCCAAAGTACTTAGGGAAATAGCATCCATTGATTTAGCCTTGCATTCATTCATTCATTCATTCATTCAACAACCATCTACAGAGCTGAGTGCTCCCTATGGGAAGCCACTTACTGGGGTCTGAATCCCAGTGATAAATGAAACAGAAGTCTTGCCTTCATGGTGCTTGCAGTCTAGAATGAGGGTAAACATGAATGATTTATTTACACCCTTTTTGATAATTGTCATAAAGTAATACTCCAGAGTGTTATAAGAGCATATAATGGTGGAGGTAGGTGTTAACTTAGAGGGCTTTTCTAAGGAGGTGGCATTTAAGGTGAGCCTTGCTGAATAAAGTAGGTCAGGCAAAAGAGAAACAGATATGGGAGGAGACGAAGTGGGCAGGAGGTGAAGGGAGATCCAGTGTTCCAGGTAGGCAGAATAGCTTCTAGGGACTTTCCATGAATTTGCCATAGATGACTAACAGCATTAGGTTTCTTACATTTTTTAAAAATGTGAATCATGTGGAATCAAATTAACTTTTGTGATTTGGCATGACTTTTTTTTTCTTTTGCCAGAGGAGGCTATAACATTCGAAGGATTAAAATTGTCATCATTAGTAGAAACACAGAATACTGAGTGAAATAATCTAGCCACAGAAAGACAATTACTGTTAGTCCATGAATATGAGGTATCAAATATAGTCAAATTTATAAAAGTAGAGAGGAATGGTGATTACCAGGGGCTGAGGAGAGGGGGAATTGGGAAGTTGCTAATCAATGGGCATAAAGTTTCAGTTAAGACGGATGGATAAGCGCTAGAGATGTGCTGTACACCATTGTGCCTACAGTCAATGATACTGTACTGCACACATACAGTTTTGTTAAGAGGTATATTTCATGTTCTTACCACACAAAAAATACATATGGGATAAAAACACAAAACACACTAAAATTATTTTATTTATGCCACTGTGCTCATTTTGCCACTTACAGAGAGAGTAAAGATGGGAGAGAAAGAGAGATGGATAAAGAAGGAAAAGGATTCCTGGAGAAAGGATAAAAACATAGAGAACATAACGAGTATAATGGAAGCAGAGTGATGAATTGTATGTACCAACTGGTTTTTAAAAACCGGCTTTGTCCTTTCTTAGGGGAGTATCAAAGGTAGACCATTTTTTTTTGCCACTCCCTCATGATACCAAAATTACTATATTAGTATGTGTTCACAACCATTAATGTTTCTCTATTTTGATATTTTCAAAGGAATTATTCTCCAGGTAGCAGTGCCCAGAAGCATATAATTGTGAGTGCTGTATAAAATGAAGGCAAGAACCCGGCAAGCTTTAGTTCATTGATATTGTGTAGTGAAATGCAAAGTGGGGAGCTACAATATGAAAATAGATAGAGAATGGCAGAAACCTCTTAGGAGTCTCGTTTTGGCCATAGCAGACTCCTTAAGTTTGAGAGGTCTGGTGGGCTTCAGCTGCTCATGGTGTTGGACCTGGTGGCAGACACACCTATTCTCTTTCTCTAGCCAGAGAGGGAACAAGCCAAATTAGTCGACACTTAGTGGCAAGATCGGTTATTTATCCTCAGAGGGATATCAGGATGTGAAGTCAGTTGATAATAACAGTGATAGTCTTGAATCTTAATTGAATGGGTTGCTTGGACTTAAAATATGAGAGGAAAAGAGGTGAGAAAAAGAATAGTCACGAGTTAGGTGAGGTGATGACTGCAGAATAAGACTCAGCTAACAGTTTGATATTAGAAAGGAAAAGGTAAACACACAATAGATGTTGCTGGTGTTAATTTCAAGGGTATTTTTCCCATGCTGCTCAGCACTCATAATAAGTTTATGAATAATTCTAAGCTGTTTATCATGGACAAGTTTAAGAAATTAACATGGGCTTGAGCAACTTTCGAGAACAGATGTTTGAAAACCAATGACAGAGCAAGGAGATATTGGAAATAAAGTCAGTGAAACTAGAATTAAAAGCATATTAAACATCGGTTGATTTGATGTATATAATCATATGGGACAGAAAATTAATAGCTATTTAGCATACACATTCACTTACATCCTAATATGTATCACATTTTTAAAGAAGGTTTTAAAAAATCAGACTTATTACTGTTATTGTTCTACCTCTCATCCAAATGATTTCCTCTTGCAAAGGATATGAGCAACAAATTTAATGAGCTGCATAAGGAACTTAAGTTGAAAGGTAACTGATATTCAGATAGTTTATCCGGCTACCATAGGACATCTACTTATTACTATGCTCAAAGAGAATTTTAAACTTTATGACATTTAAAATTTTGACACTTTAAAAATGTGTAACATATTTTGGAAGTCATATAATGGCTTTATTTTTTCTTTGAATCATGAAAATTCTAATTCATCTTTTCCACTAATTTCTGTTAAAATATTGAGGATCTCATGCTTAGATTTAAGAAAACAAAGGGGGTGTTTCATACTTATAAAGATGTCCTTCTTTGCTATCATCCAAATTAAATATATTTCTTTGTTAAAACATTCTTTACCTAGTATTAATAAGAAATGATATACCCACACGCTACCAATATATTCTCAGACAATTTTCTTTGGCATGAAGTAGATTTTCAAAATATATTTTATGATAGAAATGCTTTGCTTTGGGACATCGAGGATGGAAGATGAAGTGGTTCTATAAGGTGAGAAGAAAGGACAGCAGCAATGAAGCTTAAGGTGAGGGAGGGTGGCATGCTGGACTCATGCGCAGTTGGCAAGTACACCTGTCTAGATTGTTACTCAGACTCTGTACAAAGGCCATCTTGAGCAGGTTACCCAGACTTTCCTAGTCTTGGTTTCCTTACCCAAAAAATGAGAGATAGTGCTGCCCATTTCACATGGGTTTGTTTCCTAAGAATCAAATAAGTGAAAATGTATAAAGCTTATAGAAGCTTTTGTGATTCTATGCTTAGAAGTACAGCCTCATCTATTAAGCTGAATTTATTATTTTCATTTAAGAGGAGGCTATTTCCATGCCAGTTTGGGGACTTTTCTTTGGATTACTTACTGAAACTGCAACATCATTCACTCCCTTCCCTCAGCTTTAGTGAAGTGTAATTGACAAATAAAAATTGTATATACTTTAGTATTCTTATTATTCACTTTTGTTATCTACTTGTATCAGATATTACAGATGGGAGGGGAGGGGTGGTCCATTTTTGTCAATATGAATGCTCTCTGACTTCTGAGAAGGGTCACTCATTCCACAATGTGTTTTTCTTCCTCAGCCCTTGGCCCTTTGTGTGTGTGTGTGTGTGTGTGTGTGTGTGTGTCTGTGTGTGATTTTTCCTTTTCATTCTCCTCATACTTCAGAATCTTTACAGTTAGGTCAAAGGCAAGTCATAGTAATTGTGTTGGCTAGATCAGGGGTAAAGATTAATAAGAATAGGTGAAAGTGGCCATGGTGATGGCTCACGCCTGTAATTCCAGCACTTTGAGAGTTTTGGAAGACAGAGGCAGGAGAATCACTTCAGCCCAGGAATTAGAGACCAGCCTGAGCAACATAGTGAGACCCTGTCCCTATGAGAAATTTTAATAAAAATTAGCTGGACATGGTGGCATGCATCTGTGGCCCCAGCCAATTGAGAGGTTGAAAGGGAGGTTGGCTTGAGCCCAGGAGTTTGAGGCTGCAGGGAGCTATGGTTGCAGTGGCAACAAAGTGAGACCCTGTCTCAAAAAGAAGAAGAAAAAAGAATAGATGTGAGTGTTTGGGTATTTGAGACTGGAGTGATTATTCCCTCAGTTGATTCTGTGACCCTTGTACATATTCATGGACATCTTATACCTGGAACTGCTGTGATTGTGACAGAATCAACACACAGCTTTGCTTCTCTTCTCTATGCAGAACCCTGTAAGTGCTGTAGAAGATATGAAAGTAAATAAGATGACATCCCTCGTGACTAAGAAATGTTTCTCTGCAAACATATCCAGTGTTAACTGACACCTCCATGGAGATCTGTAATAAGTGCCCTGAGAGATACTGCTCAAAAAGTTGGAAGATGAAAGAGACTGTTACAGACTCAGAGGTCTTCATAAGACTTATCTTTTGGTATTTTTCTTTCTGGTAGTATTGGAAGTAAATTTTTAGCAAAATAGACAGACTTTGTACTATCTTCTCAGTTTTGAAATTTAATCTTGTGAAATTAAAGGAAGAGAAAAATATTTGTACAGATTTGGTCACAGTAACATTTTAGACACATTAAACATTTTAAAACATGTAGACAAACTTGGAGGAAAGTTAAAATATAAAGTCAATGAAATGAAACAAGCTATTAAAATGATTATTATGAAAGTATGATATAATGTCAAATAAAAATGAGGATTGTAATAGTTTTAAGTAGAAGACAAAAAACTCAAAAATAATGGTAGTCAGTGAGAATTTTGAGATTATTAGTTATTTTTAGTTTTTCCAGTTTGCCTTAAAGCCATTGCCATGTTTATGAATGCTTTAAAATAAAAGTAAAGAAATTAGATACTCAACTACAGTTGTTACCATCAAGAAATTAAGGGTGAAAAGATAGCTGAATAGGAAAAGCTCCTGTCTGCAGCTCCCGGCAAGACCAGCGCAGAAGGTGGGTGACTTCTGCACTCCTAGCTGAGATGTTTGGTTCATCTCACCAGAACTGGTTAGACAGTCCATATAGCCCACAGAGGTCAAGCAGAAGCCGGGTGGGGCATTCCCTCACCTGGGAAGCACAAGAGGTCAGGGAACTCCCTCCCCTAGTGAAGGGAAGCTGTGAGGGATTGTGCTATGAGGGACCATGCTATCCAGTCCAGGTCATTCTACTATAAACATAAACGTTGCTGGGAAAACTGGCTAGCCATATGCAGAAAGCTGAAACTGGACCCCTTCCTTACACATTATACAAAAATTAACTCAAGATGAATTAAAGATTTACATGTTAGACCTAAAACCATAAAGACTGTAAAAGAAAACCTAGGCAATACCATTCAGGACATAGGTATGGGCAAAGACTTCACGACTAAAACACCAAAAGCAATTGCATCAGAAGCCAAAATTGACAAATGGGATCTAACTAAACTAAAAAGCTTCTGCAGCAAAACAAAAACAAAAACAAAAACAAAAACAAACAAAAAACCCATAAAAACAAAAAAAGCTATCAACAGCCAACCTACAGAATAGGACAAAACACATGTTTGTTGTAGCACTATTCACAATAGCAAACAGTTGGAACCAACCCGAATGCCCATCAATGTTAGACTGGATAAAGAAAATGTGCACATATACACCCCGGAATACTATGCAGCCAAAAAAAAAGAATGAGGTCATGTCCTTTGCAGGGACATAGATGAAGCTAGAAACCATCATTCTCAGCAAACTAACACAGGAACAGGAAACCAAGCACTGCATGTTCTCACTCATAATTGGAAGTTGAACAATGAGAACATCCAGGCACAGGGAGGGGCCCATTGGGGGTTGGGAAGCAAGGGGACAGATAGCATTAGGAGAAATATCTAATGTAGAAGACGAGTTGATGGGTGCAGCAAACCACCATGGCACATGTATACCTTTCTAACAAACCTGCATATTCTGCACATTATCCCAGAATTTAAAGTGTGTGTGTGTGTGTGTGTAAAATATTTAAAAATTAAATATTTAAATTAAATATTAAAAAAATTAAGAGTAAAAATTTATCATGACTTCTCCAAATAATTGTAACTTTTAAGAGGGTAACTTTCAGGACACTGAGACCAGGGAGAATTTTGTTACGCCTTTGGGTTTTAGATTCCTTATCTGTAAAATATTCTGTGGATGTTGTAAAGATTAAATATAATGCATGTAAAGCAATTATCACAATACCCAGTAGCCAGCAATCACACAGGAACATATGAATTTAACGTCAGCATATTTTAAAGTATAGACATGTTAATTAAAAGTAAGTGTTACTTTATGGGGTAAAAATTCAAAATGAAAATTCCACAAGGTAAATACCAAGTAATCATTATCATATAAGTCATTCATTTCTCAGTAGGAAAATAATGAGATAAGAGATAATTCATTCTCAATAATGTTAAAAATCTAAATGACGGATAGGGTGTACTCCCTATAACAAATAGAATTCATGGGGACACTAGCTTGAAAGATCACTGCTGAAAAAGTACAAAAAAGGTACGGCCTGGTTGAGGTGGTGCAAGACACCAGATGCTGGAGCCACGCTGCCTGGATTCAAGTCCTAGCTTTGCCACCAGGAGCATTAACTTAACCTCAGTTTTTCCATCTGAAAAGTGGGGTTAATAACAGCATTCACTTTGTTATATTATTGGTAAGAATTAAATAGGCCAATGTGTGCAAAGAGCCGGGTACATAAATGAGGGACACTTAATTTACCTAGAAAATGTGTCTGTGAAGTTTTATGCCTTGAATATTTCATTTTCATAATTTTAGCCTTTTGTCTGCTTTTAGAAAATGTAAAATCCTGATGCTTTTTAGATGGTGAAAACCTTCAGACATGCATTCTTCAGGCATAAATACTTACTGAGCGAGTACAGGAAAATCACCTCACAATGCAATTTAACAAAAAATGACCAGATACCTCCGTTACCCCATTTTACATATCCGATAAAGAAATATCACCTCCTTAGAATATGAAGCAATTAGACTTTTGGATGAACATCAAAACAGTTATCAAAGTATCAGCTATAATGGAGAGACATTGGCCATGAGATGACATTATCAGAAGACCCACCAGCACTCTGTCTCAGCTTTAAAAATGCATGTATATGGAAGTACAGACATCTGTATACATAGAAATACGAAGATACATTCACTTGCGTTTACTGGTTTTAAGAAGGTATTTTCCTGAGGAGTGTCATACATACACAGTTTCTCCTGGTATAAATCAACTCATTTTATATAAGTTGTTTACATAAATGCATAAGGAAAACATATCTTAAATAGCTTAATCAGGCCCATGCTTTGCTATTATATTGAAAAATACTTCATATGTAATGTTTTGCCATCACTATCACATAGTTTTTATTGACTAGTCATTGGGTCTATGGCATGAAGATTCTCATCACAACAGCACCGAAATCACTGTATTTTGCCAACACCGTTCTTCCTCCTGTTTTCCCTCTTCTGGAAAATGATCCCATCTACTAAGTTACTCTGTTTGACAACTTGGGATCCATCTTCCTCCCTCTCTTCCTTACACTCTACTAACTTACCATATAGTTATTTACCATATTCTCTCAACTCTCTCTTCCCTGTCCTTTATCTAACAGCCCCTCCCTTGTGGTTTCCTATCAATTTAAGGCCTCATCATCTTTATCTGTACGTTTACAGCCCTCTCCTAATGGATTTCTCCTCTGGCCCATCTGCTACATTACTTTAGAAGGATAACATTAAAGTAACTCTTCTACTCCTGCAAATTTACTTATATTACTACGTATTTCCCAGAGTGCTCTGCAAACACTCATTCTGCACATGTTAAACATGGTACATTTGAGAAATGCTGGATTAACCATTTCAGGGTTCTTCATTGTAAGATTTATCAGAATTTTCAGGATTTATACATTATGAATATCCAAGATGTTATAATGTACAACTTTTCCTAAATTTGACTTACCAGTATTTTTTTTTGAAAGAGTACAGAGAGAATTTGTTTGCTGTGGAATACACTCTATAAAATACTATTTTATTTGTCTCTCTAAATGTTCAAATTTCATATCAACCTATAAGTCATAGCACAAAATTTTTAACATGCCTTGCAAGGGCCTCCTGCTATCACCTTTTCTTGCACACACCTTTTGTTTTGGCCCCATCAAGCTGTATCTAGATGCCATGTCATGCGTATTGTCATGGCTCTCATGCATTCCTTCCTATCTGAAATCCTTTCCCTTAGCTTGGCTGCTTGATGAAGTCTTCTTTATCCTTCAAGATGAGATTCAAATATCACCTTTTTAAAACTTGCTCTGACATACCCAAGGAATCTTTTTTTTTCATCCATACCCGGCAGTATGGAGTTCTCAAAGTTCTCATCACATTTTATTAAAGTTTTTGGATACTATTCTTTTTATGTACCAGCCTGGGGGATCCTTTATCATCAGTATTCTTCAGTCCTATGTGCCTGGCTCCTGTCACACAGTTGGTGCTCACTAAGAAAAAGAATAGTCCTTCTCTACTAGTAAATGGACATACCACTGTCGAGAAGGGAGCAGTGCAAGAAAGTTAGGACTATAATGAAATTGGAGGCAAGGTTGTGTTTACTCATTAATATATGGTGATTTCAGCCATGAAAACATTAACCCCAGAAACTACATCTGAATTCCAACTCCATTTCCTTCTCAAAGAGATGCTCTCCAGTCAAATGTTGAGCATTTTAACTTTGAAGGTTACTCCTACTTTCTCTCTTTTCTGCATTCATGGTCACCTTCCTTCTAAATAAAAGAGAAAAGAGACAGAATGGCCTTCAGAAGGGCCCAAATCCTTATTGAATATGTCACATCTTGGATCTTGGAAGCAGATCAAAGGAGAAGCAGTAATTTTTTTTTTAAACCACTAACTCTTCGTTGGCTATAGATCATTCATTTTTGAAAACAAGATAATTGTGGCTACAGCTGTCCATAAGAAGCAGCAGAGTTGGCTTTCTTCCAAGAGAAAAGAGGTTCACATTATGAATTTACTCAGAATAATAACCATACAGAGTTTTTACAACTAAAATGAGCATATAGAAACCCATTATTTTACACATAATAAGATAGATGCTGGCACAGAATAAAAGACTTGCCCAAGGTTACAAGAACTATAAATTTACAGTTAGTATGTGGCAAAGGTATGTTTTTTCTCAGGTTTAAAAACACAGTTAAAAAATGACTCAAACCAGAATAGACTTGAATATCATCAGGCAAAATATTATTTTATCAAGGTTTTGTCTCTTCTTTTTATCTTCCATTTGTGTATAGCATATGTCTTTTATACTAACTGATGTTTTATGCTAATAAACTGTTTTAGCAGAGGTGTGTGGACGGGATTGATGAAGGAATGGTTTATGATGAGGTGCCTGGTCTCTGCAACTGTGGGCAGGATTGTGGGATACCTGGCTAGCCAATAGGTATTACGGTGATCTTGTAAAAGATTTTTCCAAGTGGATTTAAAGCATTCTTTTAAAATTTTTGTTCACTTTTGTTTCTTAGTACAGGAGACTCCTAATTCTTGTCTAGCCATTTAGCATTTTTTAAAATGAGCATTATAAAAATTAGTAAAAATTTTAAAAAATCTTCCACATATATGGAAGCAAGATGGTTTAGAGAGTTTAGACATGAGGCACTAGGAATGCAGAAATTATTAGAGATGGTCACAGTGGTAGGTTCTGGTCATGTTTGCTTGAAGCCAATCCAGTCATGGATTAGTGGTAGCTATAGGGACTTAGATAAAAATCACTTTGTGGCTACGTTAAGAGAAGAAAACAGCTCCATGGCTACAGAAATCGGCCGAGTCCAAAACTGGGTGTGGCTTTGCTGGAATCAAAGCTGTCTATGAAAAGATAGCTTTTGATTTCTTTTGATATTTGGAAAATTTTAGCCATTCTTACCTGGAAGAAAGGTCAGAAAGGAGCCTTTGTCTGCATTTCTTTCATCTTTAATTTTTCTGTTCCAGCCTCTTTCTTTTCTATCCTTGCCCTTACCACCACTGCAATTTAGAAATCGCATTACATTTGATCTTATATTGTACATATAAAGCTTATGCAGACCGTGTAAATGTGTACGAGACTGATTGTTATTGTAGTTTGGCATTCAACCTTTTATAAATATTATTTTTGTAGCTCATAATATTTTGAATAAAACCAAAGTGATTTCTTCTTAAAAACAATCATTTAGTTTTTAATTGATGATAATATATATTTATCATGTACACCATGATGTGATAAAGTATATATACATTGTACAATGGCTAATTTGAGCTAGTACCCATATGCATTACTCACATACTTATAACTTTCCATGGTGGGAGCACTTAAAAATCTCTCAGCAATATTCAAATATGTAATACATTGCTGCTGACTGCAGTCGCCACGTTGTGATGACTGTAGAGTGGATTTCCTGAACTCAGTCCTCCTGTCTAAATGAAATTTTATATTCTTTGACCAACATCCTCCCAACACAGCCTCTGGTACCACCATTCTACTCTTCCCTTCTATGAATTTAGCGTTTTTAGATTTCACATATAAGTGAGATACTATGGTATTTCTTTCTGTGCTTGGTTTATCTCACTTAAAATAATGTTATCTGGCCTGGTGCGGTGGTTCACGCCTGTAATCCCAGCACTTTGGCAGGCCAAGGCGGGCGGATCTTGGAGGTCACGAGGTCAAGACTATCCTGGCCAACATGGTAAAGCCCCGTCTCTGCTAAAAATACAAAAATTAGCTGGGCATGGTGCCTGCAGTCCTGGCTACTCAGGAGGCTGAGGCAGGAGAATCGCTTGAACCCAGGAGGCAACAGTTACAGTGAGCCAAGATCACACCACTGCTTTCTAGCCTGGCGACAGAGTGAGACTCGTCTCAAAAAAACAAAACAAAACAAAATGTCACCCACTTTCATATATGTTGTCACAAATGACAGAATTTTCTTCTTTTTTGTGGTTCAATAGTAAGTATTCCATTATGTACATATACTAAATTTTCTTTATCCATTCATCTATTGATAGACATTTAGGCTGATTCCATATATTGGTTACTGTGAATATTGCTGCAAGGAACGTGGGAGTGCAGACATCTCTTTGACACACTGATTTCATTTCCTTTGGATATATACCCAGTAGTGGGGTTACTAGATGATAGGGTGGTTTTATTTTTAATTTTTTGAGGAATTTCTATACTGTTACTGTTACTTTATTGTTTACCAAAACAATTTCTAGTATGATAAATTTGGGGGCAACTGCTCCATTTTAATATGTATGAAGAGAAATTGAAACTTTAGCCTGAAGCCAGTGGTCTCAGCCTTGGCATTGTTGACATTTTTGGCCATATAATGCTGTGTGTTATATATGAGTGGCTGTCCTGTGTGGTGTTGTGATGGTTAGCAACGTTTCTAACCTCTACCAACTAGATGACAGTAGTACACTCATTCCCACTTGCAACAACTAAAAATGTCTTCAGATATCGCCAAAAGTTCCCCAGGAAAGCAAAATTGCCCCATAGAGAGTTATGACCTAAGCCATAATGCATGTTTCTTCCTTACTACAAACATTTGTCTTTGAGTCAGTTGAACAGCACTGCTGTTCACAATAGCCAAGATTTGGATGCAATCTAAGTCTCCATCTACAGATGACTGAATAAAGAAAATGTGGTACATATAAACAACGTAATACTATTCTGCCATAAAAAAAGAATGAGATCCTGTCATTTTCAACAATATGGATGGAACTGGGGGTTCTTATGTTAAGTGAAGTAAGCCAGGCACAGAAACACAAACATAAATAGTTCTTACTTATTTGTGGGAACTAAAAATCAAAGCAATTGAACATGTGGAGATAGAGTAGAAGGATGGTTATAAGAAGGTGGAGAGGATAGTGTAATAGTGGGAGAAGATGGTTAATGGGTTAAAAAAAAATAGAAATGAAGAAGACCTAGGGTAGCATAACAGGGTGATTATAGTCAAATAATAGTACATTTTAAAGTAACTAAAAGTATAATTGGGTTATTTAATAAAATAAATACTGGAGATGATGGATAACCCATTTTCTATGATGTGATTATTATATGTTGCTTACCTGTATCAAAATATCTCATGTACCCCACATATATACCTAAGTAACCACAAAAATTTAAAAAATTTCCTTTGGGGAAGTGAGGATTCTAATTTTTAAAAATTAAAATTCTATGGCACAATGAATTAATATTAAATTTCATTTTTTATTTAGTTAACTAAACATTTATGATGAAGTGCCCAAGAATAAAAGACAGCATTGTGAGATTCCCGAAAATGAGGAAGATATAAGCGTTTAGATTGTAGAGAAGATGAACACAGAAGAACCAAGTTGGTTTATCAGAGGGTAAGATTGGTGGTATAAGGGAATTCACATGAGGAAATGAAAGTGGTGAATAAGGCAATATGAGCATTAATCTTTGTGTTTACTGATTTCCTGAGCACAAGAACATGTATCGGGAATATTTGCAGGTCAAAAACTGCCATCCACTAATATTAATGAAGCAGGTAGGAGTCTGGGATATGGCTTCAGAAGATTGATATCAAATTCATTTTTCTCTTAAAATAACAACAAAAGGAAACTGTCTCTAAAAGTACAATAATACCTGTCTTCCTTTCCATCCATTTATCTGTTCATTTCTCTAGCCCTCCTCCAAAAAGCAGGTTAACTGATCTTTTCGAAACAAAGAAAATCATGTCATTCCTGTGACTATGTTTTCATGGCCTCCCATTGCTCTTAAACTGAAAATCAAACTCTGTCTCTTCCATGACCTATAACATGCTGTAGTGACCTGTCCCCTCCTACCTCTCTTGCCCCAGGTCATCTCACTCTCCCCGTTGTTTGTTGTCCTCTAGCTACTCTGCCTAACACCCCTCCACTAACAAATCCGAGGACCTTTGCACATGCACCTGCAATCCAGATCCCTCTGCTCCTGGCTCCTGCCCCTTACTGCTGGCATCTTCTCATGTTTCACATCGAAGCTTCAGTGTCATTTCCCTCGACCTTTGTTCACATCCTCCTTTATACTTCAAAGCTCTCCTTGAGAGTAGGAATCCTTATCTGTTTTTCTCTCTGATGTATCCCTGAACAGTCATAAGAAATATTGCATGCTCAGTACATAGATTTCAAATGAGTAAACCGATGACAGATACTTTTCTTGAGTATCTGTCACCTATACTGGATTATAAGCGTAAGGACAGCAGTATGTCCATTTTGCTCACCATTGTGTAACCAATGCCTGAATCAGTGCCCAGTCCGATGAAGATGATACAAAAATACTTTTTGAAGATGGAAATAAATGATTTCACATATAAAATGATTTATAAGATGTATTTCAGGTAAAAATAAAAAGCAAAATGAGAATAACAACAAAAACTTATGATCCCAACATCAGGCTGCCAAGGTATATAGGAAGGAAAAGTAAAAATTATAGCTTTAAGATTAAATACAGGTTTAAATATCTATTCAATTTGGATTTATTATGGAAAAAATTCCCTAAAATATTTGAAGCTGGATTCTAAAATGTACTTTACCTCCCTTATAGAATTGTGACTGATTTTTTTTATTATTCCTTACGATTCTGTCATTTAAGTGGTGGTTAAAGATTGTTAATGGGTTGTACTCTGTTAGAGTCAATGAGGAGTTATCAAGCCTTAAAGACTGCATGAGAGACCGGTATTCATACTGTAGTTTGACCAGTCTAAAATGATTCTCAAAACTGACCACCAGATGGCGATGTCTGGAAAAAGCATTCCACTCAAAGAATTCTTTCTTCACCACTTGATGGCATCTCTGCTGTTTTCAACTCCTGACCCATTCATCTTAATTCTTTTTGTGTTCGTAGTCTATATTGCTTTCTGTTCTCCAGTTCTTTTCTGACTCATAGATTCCCACTACGATACTAGTCATGTGTAGGGTGTCTTAAAGAGAAAGTCTCTGGGACGTTCCTTTGGAAAATATTCATTGTGAACACTTTTTAATTCTGATTGTTTTAATTGCATTTTGCAGCAGAAGAATTTTTTTCCCTTATTATATTTAAAAGAAATCGAAAGCTGCGTAGGCTCCTTTAAACTTGTGAGAAATTTTCACATATCTATATATCTCAAGAGACAAAAAAATACTGGTTAGCATGTGTGTGTGCGCGCGCATGTGTGTGTTTTTAAGGCTTGGTGATCAGCTTGCACACAGTGTTATGTTGCTGAAATATATTATGATTCCAAATAGGAACCTTAAAGCTGTACTCTTTGTAGTAAAATAACGACTATTTATACATCCTTTGCGTATGTAACTGCCTTTGATTTTTAAAAATATTTATGATAAAAATATACAGTCACATCAAAGATCCAGTGTTGAATTTGGTTTTATAGTGTTTGCAGGTAAATGAACATTTTTGAATAATACATTTTTCTTAAGGACTGGTAATTTTTCTTTCGAATTTAGTTATATTCTCATTAAGTTATTTGTTTTGGCCTTATGTTGAAGTCTTGGTTGTTGGCATTTTATAAAACAAAGTTTTGGGTGACCGTACTTTCAGATGTTACTTGCAGAGCATGTTAAAGATCCTCCAGTTTGAGTTTTGCTATTAACAGTCTGCAAATGAAATGAGCAAGTTTTTTTCAAGTGCTATTTTTAGGTCAGGGAGTATATTCCACATGAAACATTTTTTTTTCATTGCCTGCTCTTTGGAAGCAAATCATAGAAATCTTAAAGCTCATTAGAGATTTATCTGTTTTGAAATAAAACTGTTTTTCTCTTCTTCCTTCATGAAGATTTTGATCTGTATATCCTTAAGTGGCTTCTCTTTATACTTTGAACTGTAAGGCTCACTTCTTTCAAAACCCTTGCTTCCACACAACACAGAACTTTGATTTATGACTCCAATGCTCAGGGAGGCCGACAGTCATAGGTAGTTATGCACATGTGTAACAACAGCCGGACATACGCTATAACACTCACTTCAGGGCTCTGTTAAAAGTGTCTTGGCTGACTGGGAAAATCAAGCAGGCAATAAGTTTAAGTTGTGAATAGCAAAGGGACTTTATCTCTCCTCTGGCTCTGGCCCCCTTAAATCAGTTGGGATAGCATCTGCAACAAGTAACAACCCTCAACAAAATTAAAACATTAGTAAAATGTTCTCTCACATAAAAGGACTGAGGTATGATGGTTTCACGTTGGTTAACGTAGAGCCTAAAATATATCCTTTCTGTCTTCCCTTCTGTCATCCCCATTCTGTTAGCTTTGTCCCTGATGTGTTCCTTCATGGTCACCAGATGATTGTATGTTACTAGGAGTCACATTCAAATATCAGAATGTCCAGAGGAAGAAGAAACCACCTAACCATACCCAAAGGCCCTGCAGCCAACTCCCTCAGGCCTCATTGCCAGAGCTGGTTGAACACTCCTTTCTAAACCAATCCATGGTGAAGCAATTTGATTTCTATGATTGCTTAGACTATTCAGCTTACTAAGTCACATACTGGAAGGGAAAATTTTCCGAAAGGAAACATGCCAGAGGGTGAATGGGTTTCAAATTGACAACCAGTAATTTTTTTTTTTAATTCTTATTTTTTTATTGCATTTTAGGTTTTGGGGTACATGTGCAGAGCATGCAATACAGTTGCATAGGTACACACATGGCAGTGTGTTTTGTTTGCTTTCACCCCTTCACCCACATTTGGCGTTTCTCCCCAGGCTATCCCTCCCCACCTCCCCCTCCCCCTCCCAGTGGCCCTCCCCTTTTCCCCCCAATAGACCCCAGTGTTTAGTACTCCCCTCTCTGTGTCCATGTGTTCTTATTTTTCATCACCCACCTATGAGTGAGAATATGCGGTGTTTCATTTTCTGTTCTTGTGTCAGTTTGCTGAGAATGATGTTCTCCAGATTCATCCATGTCCCTACAAACGACACAAACTCATCATTTCTGATTGCTGCATAATATTCCATGGTGTATATGTAATTTTTGATGCCTTATCTTTCTCTCAATTATTGGAGGTTTGGTAGAGCTTGAACAAGTTCAGTAATCAGAAGAGAGGAGATGTACTTAATTTAAAATCTCAATCGTTTCAATGTTCTTGGATTGAAGACCCTGAGGAGGACAGTCTGTCACCTTTTGCCATTGTGTTGTCAGCCTAGGAAGCCTGGGTTTTGTGTGTGTGTGTCCCCTCAAATATTTCACTATTAAACCTACTTTAAGGCCTTCACTTTAGCTAGTAAAATAGATCATTTGTTATAAAATAAAAATGTAAGGCTCCTTGTTTTAAACCTTATTTCATGATTGTTGGATCTCATATTTCTGTCAGGGATGGTAATTCTAGACCATCACCAATGGCTAAGCAGCAGAAAGCAATCTATTCTGGTATTCCAGTATCCCGTTGCCCACAGGACTCTTCCCTCACTCTGAGCTGATTACCTAGTATCACTGAGGAAATAAAAGTTCAGCTCATACAAATTTCATCAACTAATCTTCTCTTAGACATCTCTGAGTTCCTCCTCCTTCCCTCCTAGTTCTGAGGATGGAATACCTTTCCGCCCTTCTGTTGTGAATTCCTCCCTGGTGTTTGATTCCTTCCTCTCCTGATAGCTTGAGCTTTTTCATTCAGTTTCTTCTCCCAAGTCACCTAGGCTTTGTACTTATTTTTGACCCTTTCCTTTACATGCATTTAATGAGTTGCCAATTCCTATCGATTCATCTTCTGTTACTATTTTTTTAGACAGAGTCTCACTCTGTCACCTAGGCTGGAGTGCCTTGGCTCGATCTCAGCTCATTGCCACCTCCTCCTCCCATGTTCAAGTGATTCTCCTGCCTCAGTCTCCCGAGTAGCTGGGATGACAGACGTGTGCTACCACACCCGGCTAATTTTTGTATTTTTAGTAGAGACAGGATTGTGCCATGTTGGTCAGGCTGTCAGGTGGCTCATGCCTGTAATCCCAGCACCTTGGGAGGCCGAGGGAGGCAGATGACCTGACGTCAGGAGTTTGAGACCCTCTCAGTTATCTTACCCACCTCCACTGCCACTGTTGTCCTTTGCTAAAGTAATTTTAGACTTTTGGAGCTCAGCAGACTCTGTTCCTGAGTCTAGCACTTCAACAGTCTGGCATTTGAAATAGTTTGCATTTTGCTAGTTTTTAGCTTTATTAAATATTCTGAGATGTAACCTTTTGGTAATCTATATTTGCTTTGTAGTTCACTGGAATTACATGTGCACATGGAACCTGAAAAGGCTAAAATGGTAATAACTAACTATGAAATACAGAGAAAGCAATAATTAAAGTGTCATTTAAACTAAATTTCCCCAATATTAGGGTAGGTAAATTAGAACTGTGTAGATTTTCAGAGGCCAATTTTGA